TGTTTGTGTGTGGTATGTGGGTTTGTGTTTTGCATTTGTGCTTGCATACCTGAATACCTGGAGGTGTCATCTCTGACTGATCAGAGGTTGATGTGTAATGACCCTCCATCTTTCACGGTCGTGAGCTGCCGTTGCACATATATCTGCCATATCCAGGCCAATCCATGTTCTTATGTTTTCCATCCATGTTACATTTGTCTTCCTCTGGCTCTCCTGCCCCTCATCTTTCCTTCAAGCCCCTCTTTCACAATGGGTGTCTTTTTAACTGGCCATAGTATTGTATTTTTCTACATTTTATTTTGTTCAGCAGGGTTTGTCTTGTGAGTAGAATCTGACACACCTCTCGTTTTTTCGTTTGGTTTGGGGTTTGTTTTTGTTTTGTTTTTGTTTTGTTTTTGTTTTTCGACCCATAATTTACGGTAGCACTACATCTCAAACGCGTCTGTTTTGTTTCTTTGATAACTCTTTCCTTGCCAAAGTCCAGATTTCTGCGAACACACACACACACACACACACACACACACACACACACACACACACACACACACACACACACACACACACACACACACACACTCATCTTATTTCATCTTGCTTTCACTATCTTCAGGGATTGGAAGCAGCGAAGCAGGATCACCAGTTGGCATTTCAAACGAAGCATTTTATTAAAGACTAATGATCTAGTTTGACTTCTAACTATTTGAAGTTAAAACTTGTGCAATAATATAAATAGCACCAATGTTCAAAACGTCCCCAGTGAATGGGACACCATTGAACAGAGTAGATCTAGATCTACAACACACTGAGAAAATGATTTCAAAACAGCCCTAGTTGGCCTGTACAAATATTTAAATAAATGAAATAACAAAAAACCATTCGGAATAAGAAAAATACGAGCCTACAAAATCTGACGGAAAAATGACTTAGCATTGTAATCCTTGAGTGAAAAGTTCAGGCCTGTAAATCTAAAGTGATTGATATTACTTTGTATTATAATAACAGGTCTTGCTATGGTATTTTGGGAATGTGCTAGGCTAGTTTAGTTGAAAGAGCGGGATTTGTGCAACTTTTGGGTCTTCTAGATTTTGCTTGATAGCTTGTTGATAGATTGCTGTTTCTGATCATAAACAGGGGGAATCATAATTTATGCATGTACCAGGTTAGGAGAAAATCAACGATAAGAAGTCAGGAGACCCAGTAAGGAGAAACGGCAGGGTTTGAAAGTAACTAGATCTATCTAGATCTAACTAATCATTATTTTTTTTGGAGGGGGGGAGGGAGAACAACCATAAAGAACATTCAATGTTAAAACAATAGTTTCGCTTTGTATCGGTCGGATCAGGGCCTTATAACTAATAAACATTAAAATATGACTGGAGAAAAGCATGCTATGTTACAAGCGCAATAAATTCTATTGTTTCGCCGGTTGTTGAGTAGACCATAAAATAGATGTAGAAATATTCGAAGACATTGACGGAAGTGCGGACGACAAACAAAACCGAAAGTAGCCCGATTCCGATGCGGAAAAGTGAAAAAGTGAAAAGGGCAAGCTTGTTGTTGTGGATCAAGAGATTGCTTGCGGTATTGTGCACGACTATTAGATTTCGATCTAGATCTAGGCCTGTATGGTATGTGGGTTTGTGTTTTCATTTGTCGAAGGTTTCAGGAGCCGGTTTCAGAGTTGACTTTTCTCCTTTAGGGTCTAGATCTATAGTTTATTGTTTGATTTGCCAAGTTTTTGTTGGGAATGAGTGTAGAGTTGTGAATTGCATTTTATGAAGAAAGTTTGAATTTGAAAATGAAAGTTGAAAGGAAAAAAGGGGTGACGGTTGGCGATGAGGTGGGGGATAGGGAGCCCTGTGAAATTGCAAAAATACAAGTTATTTTTCGGAAAGATAGTAACTTGAGTTGTAGGCTACTGTTGAAAAATAGAAGCATGTTGTCTGCTATGGCTATGGGGAAGTGGTAGGCTACAGCGTAGGGGAGTGCTCTTAGTACAGCATTTGGGGAGGACTTCCGTAAGGAGCGACCACTATCTTCTATGGCTTCCAAAATCAGGATGGAAGACTATGCAGACAAAGTGACTTCTTCTTGTGTGGCCAATGGCTCCCCAGATCATTACACTTCTCCCGCCAAGGGCTTCTTGTGCCTCTCCCCTCTGTGATGCTGTCTTGGGAAAATCGCTCATTTCGATGTTTGTAGACTCAGTGCAGTCTGATGTGGTGACGGAGAAGAAATTGAGATTCATCACTGAAAAGGACATAGTTTTCTTTTGCTTTAATAGCCTCCGTTGACCATGCTGGACTGCCCATTCACTTTGCTGGTGGTGATTATAATGTCAAGCGCCATCAGCGCGATCTTAAGGTGGCGCAGAACCATATGATGATCCGCAGAAAGCGCGGCCATCTCGAGATGGGCGCACCATCTATGGATTATTTCCGAAAATGAATAGAGCTGCGCGATCTTAAGATTGTGCAAAGCAAGCAAGAATTGCGCCATCTGCCGATCGCTTGAAAACACACAACACATATACAACATATTATATATACACACACAGAGGCGAGAGAGAGAGAGAGGGAGAGGGAGGTTTTTGTATACCCAAGATAGATAAAAGTCACTTCACACCACACATGCAGACGCTAAAACAACATACACGCGCGCACACACACACACACACACACACACACACACACACACACACACACACACACAAACACAAACACAAACAAACAAACGATTTTGCAAAGTTCACAAATAAAGCTTCACAGAATTTATTATGATTAATTTTAAATATTGAAAACAAAAAAGAATCTGGAGGACGCAAGTGTCACTTGTCTAATAGAATATTTTGACTGCATATTTGGCATTTTTAAAATGCATTTAATTTGGCAGTTTTTGAATGTTGGTTTGGCAGGAGACCGAAAAATAATGTGGCAACCCTGAATGAAAGGGGAAAGCAAAGCACTTAGAAACGAAACGCAAAAATTCAAAAGAGAAAGGCTGTATGGGCAAGTACTTGCGTCCTCTTGAACCTTTTTAAAAAAAAAATTGAAATTAATGATAATAAATTCTGCGGAGGTTTGTTTGTGAACTTTGCAAAATCGTTTGTTTGTGTGTGATGGCGCGTCGCGCCCATCTCGAGATGGCCGTGCTTTCTGTGGATCGTCATATGGTTCTGCGCCGTCTTAAGATCGCGCTGATCAGCAAATGGTGCTTGACAATTATTTGTCAAAGATGTCTTCAGAAATAGTCATTGTGCTCAGAGATTGTCTTTGTGTAGATGATTTCTGACAATTTGATCCAACACCCGACCATTTCTCAAATATAGTATAGCTTGGGCAGTAGTGGAGGCTGACATGAATCAATCCCACAAATAAAGTCGCCAAATTATATTATAAAGATCTTGAGCAAGAGTCGTTGCTCTTGGTTTCTCAGTCCTTTTGCGGTTTGCCGTTGAATCTAAATTAGATCTTTTGCAATCGGCAGAAAAGTCGACTGATTATTGACTGAGACATATTTCAAGTCGTAGCAGGAGCAGCAACACTCTCATGTGGTTGGCCTGCTTGAAGGCGATGTCTATTATATTGCTTATGCTACTCTCTTTGCTGCAGTGAAAATGATGGCATGGTGCTGCTTTTCAGAAGGAATGAATTTGAAAATTAAGGGCAACCTTTCTATAACGACCACTTTTCTCTTTGATCTTGAGGAACTGTTATGGACAGTTTCAAATGTAGATCTATATATTGTAGGATTTTTTAAAACATTATTTTGCTTTTTTTTTTCTCTTTTCAGGTTATTCGTATGAGCTGAATTTCTTTTTCCTAACTGCACTTCAATATATTATATATTTGTATTTTTGAATGCTCCATTGGTCTTTATTTATTTTTGTTGTTGTTGCTTTTTTTCAGATTTCAACAATGCTGATTTTTTATTTCCTGGAATTTTTACTCCTTATGCTGAAGAAATATTCTCAGGCTAAGACCTTTTATCTAGTAAACATGCAATAGTCAGCTCATGCACTTTAGCTTTGAAGAGTTGTAACATAGCTGTAAAGATGTACAGGCTTCTTGATAGAGTGATGTTCACTCGAGGCCTCAAGCCAGGGCTCTGTCTATTCAAATTGCCAGTTGTTTGTGGCACTTTTCCAAGGCCGTGTGCCAGCTGGCTTGATGCGATGGATGTAAGACATTCCTCTCAAAGGGAGAGAGTTCCTTCCATTTCCCATGTCCCTGTGTTTAATACTAAAAATGTTTATGATTTGCTGGTGTCGAGTTTGTCGAACTGTGGTGACCCTGACTATGTAAGGCGACATAAAATTAATGATGACGTAATACACAACCAGAGGTCCATACTGTTGGAAAAAAGGCAACAACAACATCATTTGCTACAAAGAAATTCAGCTTCTCAATGCGTGAGAGGGTCCCGCTGTCTGTCCACATCATGTCACAGACACGCCCTTCCACCTACCCTTCCTGCCGCAGCGGGCGTCTCCAGTGCTGTACCATCGCAGCTGTTGTTCCCTGATGTCCCAACCATTCAAGTCGCTGAATTTGTGATCTCTTCCGCATATCACATAACTGGTAAGCGAACAAATTGTCATCTGTACCTATTGACTCACTTGAGGCTATTTCCATGTATAAATACGGGACGCCTCGCTGGCCCAGTGGCTTAATAATCCTTTGTATTTACGAGATGCGTTTTATCAGTCAATATCTTCGGTGTTTTTCGGTTACAATTACAAGCTACGGGAAGCGACGAGCCAACGGTTGACCGACTTGTTTCGTTTTGTAAAAAATTTGGTTAAGTTACTTTTTTATCTGTAATGGACTAAGTCTGTCACCCCTGCATTGCGATAGATGATCTTTATTATAAATGGGTGCAAAATAAAAATGCGTAACCCCCAATCATTGCCATTTCAAAATATTGATAAAATAAAAACTATTTGGACAAAGAAGATGCAGTTTCTTTTTTCTGTGAGAGCATTTCTTTCTTTCTCTTGTTACGTTAAAAAAATTATGATAGTAGCTTTCACAGTCTTTTACACTTCAATATACCACAAAAGTGTCAGGCTGCAATGGTTGTTGGGTGAAAAAAGGCTGAGGCTCAAGTGAGTTAAAGACCATAAATGTATCATTAATGTGTGCATCAGTTACCTCGTATAAGTTGTCATGCTCTCTTATTGTAGAAATGCCAGAGCAGATATAATTGAAGATCATGGTGTTTAATCATACTTATTACAAAAAAGCTTTTTGAGAGAAATATAATTATTTTTTGAAAGATTCAGTGAAATTTTCTTATGTGAAGTAAATGTATGTATAATGTTGAGTCAGGTTTATTCTTGCTTTCTGAGAGAAATATAATTATTTTTAAAAGATTCAGTGAAATTTTCTTATGTGAAGAAAATGTATGTATGATGCAGAGAGAAGTATAATTTTTCTTTCGAGATTCATTACAGCTTTTCCTTTAGAAGGCAGAATACAAGCAGGTTAGAGATTGGAAAAGAGACAGAAGTCTGAATCTGATATATTGCTGTTTCCTCAGGTCTCCCGTGGTGGTCAACCATTGTCCTCACTGCCTTTGTCGTGCGCATCCTGTTGATGATGCCGCTGACCATATACACCCACCACAACATGGCGCGGCTGCAGCGGCTGGCGCCCGAGGTGAAGGAAGTGGCGGAGCGGCTGCGGCTTGAGGTGTCCGTTGCCATGCAGAAGTTGGGCTGGGACCAGCAGAAGGCTAGGCAGGAGTACAACAAAAATGTGAGTCGCCTTCTCTGGATTTTGTGATATATTTGAGAGGCAACGTGGTGAAATCAGGCGCTCGTCAAAATAATGAAATCGAAGAAACCGTTATTTACCTCTAGTTTGACAATTTTTATCGAATTTTCGTTTTTTCACTCAACATCTTTAAAATTAATTTAAAAACTCATTTCTGTATAGATTTTACTGAAAAGCGCTGATTAACTCATTTCAGACGGGTCACACAACAGTTGCGTGACCCCCACCGCGACGCTTGCGACGGGTCTCACAAGCCCTGCGTGACCAACTTTGGATTTTTTTTTTCGCTCGACAAATCACGCACGGATCGCGAGACCCGCCTCGTACCCTTGTTTGGCCAAGCCTGAGCTACTTAGACTTCGTTTCGTATCTCTGGAGCCGGTACTTTTTAAGTTATTGAAGGTGAAGGACAGTGACCCCAACTGGGGTTGAACAGACCAGAACTCGCGCTTTGTTTTTTTCTATACAGCTGATAGTAATCCGACAGTCGCGTCGTAGTAACGGTCGAAGAAGTCGCATGAACAAGAATCACATAATTTCGCCATTTTCTATACTTCTGTGCGTTTTACTAGTTCTAGTGTCTCAGAATATGATGTGTCTAATAATAGTTAGGATCCTGGATATATGTACCCGAACACGGCCCGAGTCGTAGTTCTAGGGCTAGATCTAGCACTAGTACCGGTGTTGTTTTTCGCGCAACGAAATCACAACGTCGTGCCGTACATCTGTCTCATGTAATTCAGTGTATGGGTCTGAATCAATGCACAGACCAGCTTTTATATTTTCACCAAACACTCGCACATGTATACAAATCAAACCAGAACACTTTGAACTTTTATTTTTGTTGTTGCAGTGAATTTCATTCTACTTCAACTTGTCACGTCTCTTGAAATTTTTCGGAAAATCAAATTCATGCCCATTTTAAAAAAATGATACAAATTAAAGTATTAGACTTAAACAACTTTAGTTTTTTGTATTAGATTAAGCTTGAATGTTACTTTACTGTGTCAAAAAATGATTACAATAGGGTAATTCTGAGAGTTGTGGTGATTTATTGAAATACCCCCAAAAACGCCAGTCTTCAACGCTTGTGACTGGTGAAAGGGCCCAGTCGCAAGTGAGTTAAAGGCACAAAAAATGTAAATTTTCAGTTTTCAAAGATTCTCAAGATTCGAAAATCACAAAACTTTGACGGACATTTAATTGTATGTCTCGACTTCTTGTCAAGATAAATGAGTATTTTTTTTCACAGAAAGCAAGACAAATCCACTAACTCTATGTACCCCTAAATTAACAAGTGCTTGATTTGTCTGTTTTGTGACGCATATATTTATAAAAGTGGAAGGCTTGCCACTTTTGTGTACACTTTTGTCTCTGATGAACCTGTTGCCTGTTTTTCGGTAAGCTGACAAAACGCCTTTTTTCATTTTGGCTCCAAAATTGTGTATTTGCTAAATCAAAAGCCTGATCAGTTACCCTACTTGTGAAAATATAAAAGTGAAACTGTGATTAGTTGGTTTTTTTATAAATTCAAATTCAAATTGTGGAAGAACTTTATTTTTCAATGGTTACGCTGACATTTTCTCGAAACTGCTGTGATTTTAAAAAGGCATTTTGTCAGCTTACGACAGTGTAGTCTATTTTTAACAGAGAGCAACGTCAGTGCATTCTTGGTGAGGCTTTGGGTGCTCCACAACTTTCTCCTGAAAAATCAGAGTAAAATTTTGATTTGTAACACCTATTCGAAGTTGATTCCTTTATTCTCATGGCGTTTTCATGGAATTTTTTCTTCTCCCTTTCTCTTTCTCTCCTCTTTGCAATATCACCTGTCCGATCTTACCGCAGTAGAGTACTTGAAACCATCTCATTTTTCTTTGTTTTTAGTGTTTTGGCCAGATTGTATTAGACAGAGGTCATTGTATTTGGATTTTAGGGTACAAATGTGGGGATGACTCATGGTTTGACTGAAAACCTTGGAGAACCTCTTTCCAATATGCTCTTGAAACTGTTTGGCAGTAGATTCATGTTATTATCTGCTTTTTATGAACAGAATGATCTTTATAAAGGCCAGGCTCATTCCTGATACATTGATGTCATGGATTGTTTGTTCAAATGTCATATATATATAGGTATAAGCGGGTCCGTAAGCGAACGATTAAATCTGTATATCTGAAATTTCTTTGGTGTATTGAATTGTTACTGTGTTTAAGCATGATGTTAGTGTACGTTTTATTTTCAAGGTCTGTTATGCTAAAACTGGAAATTGTTTTGACGGTTACAATGTATTTGTTATTTTGTTGTAAGTATGAATTACATATTATTATATCTTTTTTATTGCAGATGAACCGGTTGCTGCGTGAACTACATATTCGGGACAATTGCCACCCTATGAAAAATACAGCCAGTTTCTGGCTTCAGATCCCTCTCTGGATCAGTGTGTCATATGCATTGAGGAATATGTCTGTGAAGGCTGTGAACCCTGAACTAGGTTAGTTGCTTGTCTGCAGTCAAGTAAATATTTTTGACTGGCAGGGCAGAATTTAGGTATCAAATATTTTTAAAATATGAGCAATGGATTCTTTCGTGTTGCAGGACCTAAAGCAGATAGGATGCTAGATGTTCTGCTGTGGACAAAATGGTATACAGAAGAATATGTATAGTTTTAGAGACTATTTTCCCTTAATCCCTTCTCCCCCCCCCCCCCCCCCCCCCCCCCCCCCCCTCCCCCCCCCCTCCTTAATTGAGTGAAAATTTCTGACAACCTTTTTGTCTTTTTAAAACCACTAGCATCAGAAAGTGTTGGTTGTTTTTTTTTATGCCAGGTTTCTTTTAAAGTTATCTATAACACTTTGAGTAAATGTGTGTTTATTTGTTGGACATAATAATAATAATAATTATTATAATAATAATAGATTGCGTTTATATAGCGCTCTATCCCATACTAGTATAAGCTCTGAGCGCTTTACACCAATCACATAATAATCATTCACACAAGAAAAAATATTTCACAGAAACAAGAAAAACCAGTTCAACCACATAAAGAAAAACTTTCACAACCATACATTAACTATATACACAAACATAAACCCTATAAGGCTTTTAAAAGATTGCTTTTTATTATAGATCAATCTTCAGTTTTAAAAAAGACAACAACATATATATCTGGCTGTTGTTAATATTGTCCGTTCAGAGAATCACAGTGATTTTGCTGGTTTGGCGGAGCAGGGAATCGCTTGGTTCCCGGACCTGACACAGGTGGACAGCACCATGATCTTGCCGCTGATGATGGGAGCTGTCACGTTGTTCAACATTGAGGTAGTTGTTGAAGAGAAAGAGGCTTCTGAGCCTTAACATGTGAGGCATCGTGATGAAAGTAGGCGATGAATGAGCCTGCACGCTTCATTTGTGTCACGATGCGGTGGAATCGGACGCTTGTCAATTTTTGGACATGTGGAGTTATCTTAAAGCTTGTTTTATTTGTCCTGCTTTCGGTGAAAAAAATGCCTATCTTTCTTAAATAGAAGTCGAGATGTTTGCCATACAAAGAGGTTGGGGTTGCCTGTTTGTAGAGGTTAAATTAGTGAGAAAATGGCTGTCAAATTTTGATGACTACTATAGCTTGAGAGTCCTTGGAAACTGAAAATAAAAATTTTATGCCTTTAGTCAACGTTTAGCCTCTGCTTCAGATAATAATGCTTATCATTTGATGGAAATAGTTTTCTCCTTTTACAAATACTTTCTTCTGAGTACTAGGACGACATTTTCCTTGTGCTGTTCCTTAGTTCATTAGGTTTTCAATTTCCTTTGATTTGTTAATTGGCCGTTACAATTTCCCCTTGCAAGGGTTAAAGGGATCAGCAAAATAGATTGGTTGGTCTCAAGCTTTCTTGCATGATTTAATGCTTATTTTTTAGGTTGTTGTTTTTTCTTCAAAACTATGTGTTTAGAGTAACTATCTTTTCACCCAGTTGTAATTTGGAGACGGATGTTTCAATAATTTCCAATTTTCTATACAATTTTTTTTCACTCTTCAGTTTTAACAACTGCTGCACTCATTTTCCAGATGAATTATCTCAGTGTGCCAGAAGTGACCAAGTACAGGCGATATCTGACGTATGTCCTGCGTTCTGTCGCCCTCGTCTTCGTTCCGGTCAGCGCTTACTTGCCCAGTGTGAGTGAGCGCAACGTTGTTTTTTGTCCAAATATGTCAGGTTAATGACAAAGTGGCACTTTATGTTCCATGGCACCGCAAATATTGACAAAAATCCTTTTCAGCATCTGAAATACAGTATAACACTGATAACTCAAATTCTTCGGGACCAGCCTCGGTAGTTCGAGGGATCCATAGTTCGAGGGATATCTTAGAAAGATATATAAATAAGCTTTGAAAAAATGGGACCGCAAGCACAGTTCGACGAATACGTCATTTTTAGTCTTCTGTGTTCGACCTATTTGTGTTATACTGTAGTTTAATTTTGATATCACTTTGATGATTTATGCTGTCTTTAGGCCATTCCCAAAGGGGGAACATTTTTTGTTCATACACAGTAGAATTGTAAATGAGCTGATTCATCAATGTCACGCTCATAACTGTGCCTGATCTACAACAGGGAACTGCTGCTTTTTCTTTTCTAATCCTTTCTATTGTCATTTTTCCTCTACGTCTTTTGTATGTTTGTCACACTCTTGTGACTTGTTATTTCCGGGGTGCCTTGATAGTTGAAGCAGACTTTGTGCTGTTGAAGCTAGAGAGGTGAGCAGAGTAAGTCTGATTCCCTGTACGGACTTCTCTGTTGACATCCACCCCTTGGCGCTCATATGACCTCGTGCAGTTGCGAGCGCCGTAAAACCTCTACTAAAACTAAAAAGATGATTTATGCCAGTAGTAACAACAAATGACTAGAGATGCTGGAGTAATGACTGGAGAATGTGGGACAGTGGGTCTAGCAGATCTTGTCAGTTTGTTAGTGTTTGAGCGCATTATCAGCTGCTTGCACTGTATGCTTCGCGGGAAGCTGAACATATTTCTGAGTGTTCTATGGTCCACTGGGGTAATGCATTTAATATAGTGTGTAAATGCTATTTATTATTATTATTATTATTACAACTGTCATTGTCATCATGTCTGTTGGTTCCTAAATTTTGCTATGACTGTCTCTGTACTCTGTGTCTACAAACTGTGCTCGTTATTGCTACCCACCTATTCATGTGCTTTTCGCAATCACACACATAATCGCGCACACACACTAACTTGAGATGAGATCAGGGGACGTGACCACAACAATATTTGTGACAAATTTTGTAAGTAATTATTTCCCTTTTTGATTTCTCTCTCCGACTCTGATAATTACACTGAACATTGATGAACAGCAAGGAGAAGAAACGTCCTTTTCTTTGTCTGAGCATATTGTCATAAAAATGTTATTTGACTGACTGTGTTTACTATCATTATAATGAGACTGGCTTTCCATAAATCTGACGAGTGAGTAGTTGGCGGATGCTCTGGTGTGGTTTGCTTCTTCTTTCCTATCAAGTCTATCGTCCTAATCTCTCCTCCTTCTTTTTTGTGTTTGTTGCTCTTTTGTAACACCTCTAATCTTTGGCACTTATATGACCTTATTGTGTTGCAAGTGCCATAAAACTAAATCTGAGACTGAAAGTGTGTTGTGTTGGGAGGTGTATGTGTCACGACGCAGCGGAATCAGGCACTCGTCAGTTTTAGGCATGTGGAAATATTGACATCATCTTGAAGCTTGTTCATTTTTCTTGGATTCAATGAAAAAAATTACCCATCTATCTTGAATAGAAGTCGAGATATTTGAAATTGAAGGTGATTGGGGTCGCCCGGTTTCAGAGGAAAAATTAGCGAGAAAATGGCCACCAAAGTTTGGGGAATTCCATAGCTGAAGAGTCCTTTAAAGCTGAAAAATTAAATTTTTTGTGCCTATTATCAACATTTTTCCATAAAATTCACACAGAAATAACATGTTTATAAATGGACATAAAAGGTGTTGAGTCAATATACAAAAATTCCCCCAAAATTGCTGAACCAGAGGAAAAGTGCGGATTTCTTTGATTTCTTTATAATGATGAGCCTCTGATTTCACCACGTTGCCTCACATATATATTTTTATTCTAGATTTCTGTATTGTGAGGCATCGTGGTGAAATCGGGCTCTCGTCAAAATAATGAAATCAAAGAAAACGACATTTTTTCTCCAGTTTGGCTATTTTTGTCGATTTTTTGTTTTTTTGGCTCAAAACCTTTTTATATCCATTTAAAAACACATTTTTGTGTCGATTTTATTGAAAAACATTGATTTCAGGCACAAAAATGTTAATTTTCAGTTTCCAAGGACTCTAAGGCTATGGAAGTTACCAAACTTTGTGGCCCTTTTCTCGCTAATTTTACTTCTGAAAGCAAGCGACCCTGACCTCCTTCCAAAGCAAATATTTCGACTTCTATTCAAGATTTTATATATAGATATTTTTTCACCAAAAGAAAGTCAAATGAAGAGGCTTTGAGGTGATATCAATAACTCCATATGCTCAGAATTTGACGAGCGCCTTATTCAACCCCTTCCTGCCACATATTATTATTATCCCATTTTCCCCCTTGCTTCCCCCACAGACCATGGTTCTGTACTGGGTGAGCTCTGGTATGTTTGCTGCGGTACAGAACATCCTGCTGACCTAAAAAAAACTCATATTGGTTACTTTTAATTGCGATGAACATAGCAACAATGTATTCCAATAGTTCCATGGCATTGTTTTAGCTATACACGTCTTGCAACTTTTCTTGCAACTTTTGCTATTTTCAAATGCAGCTTTCTCTGAGGACAGACATATTATTATTATCCCATTTTCCCCCTTGGTTTCCCCACAGACCATGGTTCTGTACTGGGTGAGCTCTGGTATGTTTGCTGCGGTACAGAACATCCTGCTGGATTATTCTCCGTTCCGTCGCCTCGTTCGACTGCCCCAGACGCCATTTGAGAGTGGCGCGCCCTTCAGGAATCTTTGGAGCAAGGCCAAAGCGAGATACAAAAACTCTTAGCACCTGCTGCTGGTGATAGATGTAGGATGTATAAATTAGTATAAAATAAAGAAAGCAAATTTTGTGATTTTTTATTATGAGTTTAGTTGATCATTTTTTGATAAATGATGATGATAAATAAATTGTCGGCGCTTGGTTGGAACTGGAACTTTGTTAAACTTGAATTTCAAAATTTTACAGGAGAGACTGTAACATAAGTAAGTATATGGGTTTATGCCCCTATCAACACTATTAGGTTATAGTAACTTTAACCTTCATTTCAGATAGCCATGTTGGATGTGTGATTTGGCTATTCTAGATGGTAGTTTCTACCGTTAGTTTATGAATTCAGTCTTCGACTTTCACTTAGTGTCCTCCCACAGTGTTTTCCGTGCTTTTCTTGTGTGGTCCACTATGTTTGGACAGAAAAAGCATTTGCCAAGCATCAATCATTCATGATTTGCCAAGCATCAATCATTCATGATTTGCCAAGCATCAATCATTCATGATTTGCCAAGCATCAATCATTCATGATTTGCCAAGCATCAATCATTCATGATTTGCCAAGCATCAATCATTCATGATTTGCCAAGCATCAATCATTCATGATTTGCCAAGCATCAATCATTCATGATTTGCCAAGCATCAATCATTCATGATTTGCCAAGCATCAATCATTCATGATTTGCCAAGCATCAATCATTCATGATTTGCCAAGCATCAATCATTCATGATTTGCCAAGCATCAATCATTCATCAATGATGCCAATTAGATTGAAAAAGGACATTTTCATAAGACCTGACAGGTAGAAGAGTCACACAAGATGACACATTTGAACAGAGTGGCACATTTGAATAGCAGAAGATGACTTTACTTGAGGAAAAGGCCTGGTCAGCTTTTCTTGATCTGTGTCAAAACTTAATGCAGTCACAAGAGTGAAATCATGAGGTTTTAGGGAAAGAACTGACAGCATATGTGTCATGACGTGGTGGAATCAGGCGCTCGTCAATTTTTGGGCATGGAGTTATTGGTATCAGCTTCTTAAAGCTCTTTTGTTTGTCTTACTTTGTATGAATAAAAACTCATCTTTCTTGAATAGAAACTGAGATATTTACGATCGAAGGAGGTGGGAGTAAATTTAACGAAAAAATGGCTGCCAAAGTTAGGTGACTTTCAAAGCTTGAGAGTCCTTTGAAACTGCAAGATTAGAATTGTTGTGCCTTTAATTAAACTTTAAGCAATGTTTTTTTAATACATCCACACCGAAATGTGTTTTAAAATGAATTTAAATGATGTTGAGCCAAAAAGCAAAAAGTCAACCAAAATTTCAAAACGAGCAGAAAAATGCCAGGCGCCTGATTTCACCACAGTGTCTCGTAAATGTGAAGCATCATGATGAAATCAGGCGCTCGTAAAAAAAACAAAGGAATTCGAAGAAAATGTTGCTTTTTGCAGTTTAGGCAATTTTTATCAAATTTATGTTTTTTTGACTCATCACTTTTTTATCCATTGAAAAGCATGTATTTACATGTATGTGGATTTTACTGGAAAACATTGCTGAAAGGCACAAAAATCTAAATTTTAAGTTTCCAAGGATTTTCAAGCAGTGGAAGTTGCCACACTTTGGTGGCCATTTTCTTGCTAATTTTTCCACTGGAACCAGGCGACCCCACCTCCTTCAATGGCAAATATCTCGACTTCTTATTAAGATAGATAGATATTTTTTGCATTGAAAGCAAGACAAACAAACAATCTTAAAGACGATATCAATAACTCAACATGCTCAAAAATTGACAAGCGCCTGCTTCCACCGCGTTGTAATGCATACAAATTCCTCTGAACAAGAATGTTTGTGAGCATTCATGTCCTTCACAGTCACAGCCATCTTGGCTTTTTAAACTCTTTGAGGGCTCCTACTTGTAGTCTAGAGGTTCGCCTCTCATTCAATAGGTCCCAGGTTCGAAACCTGACAGACTGAAAATTTTCATCTCTAATTTCTAAATTTTCTCCTTTCACCTCCTTTCCTGCTCTCTAAACATGTTCTGTCATCTGCTTTCGTCTCCACTTTCTACCATCCCCCCCCCCTCCTCCTCTGGGCTTCTGACTTTCATGCAACCTTTCTACTGCTACTCCTTGGCTCCTTTTTGTGCTGTTAAAACTAGAGAGGTGTGTGCTGTTGAAGTTAGAGAGGTGTGTGCTGTTGAAGCTAGAGAGGTGTGTGCTGTTGAAGTTAGAGAGGTGTGTGCTGTTGAAGCTAGAGAGGTGTGTGCTGTTGAAGTTAGAGAGGTGAGCAGAGTAAGTCTGATTCTCTGTAAGGACTTCTCTGTTGACATCCACCCCTTGGCGCTCATATTATGACCTTATGCGCTGTTGCGAGCGTTGTAAAACCTCTACTGAAACAAAAATCATAATCTTCGAAAAATGTCGGAGGTTTTGAGTGCAAGTTGCGCACGTTAAAGATCCCTTGGTAGTCCTAAAATCGATAAAAAATTAAAGAAGAGTAGGCTTCTGCCGCCACCCGAGAAAAATTCTAAATTCCAAATTCCTACCAAACTTAAAACGTTTAATGTGTCCCGCGCGCTCATATGACCTTATGCAATTGCGAGCGTCGTAAAACACTTACCAGAACAAATAAACAAATAAACAAACAAACAAACGTAAAAAGAGCTTCATGGCAAACCAGGACGCTGTCTCAGGTAACTTATACTTACGTATGTTTAAAAGAATAAAAGAGAAAAAAATTGCGGCACACCAAATACAAAATTCCTGATCTGCTCGAGAAAGTGTGAAACCATATTTGGAGTCCAAGATCCAAAATTTTGTTAGATCTATACGAGTTTCATTCACACTACTGAACCCAGAAATTTTCAAAATTTTGACTAACAGCATGTTGAGGAATGGGACGTTGGCCTCAAAAAGTAAGTCTGGCATACTGTGGCATCAAACAAACAGAATTTTATTAAAAACAGCTTCGATTACTTCCTATTGGTTTAAATTAGTTTAATATTACATGTATAGCACTAACCTTACGCAACCGTTCAAAATTGACACCAGTTCCATGTCATCTCAACTCACATCTTAGGTCGCGATGTGCCATATATTCACTCATGTCACATAACTAACGACAGGCGAAACTTGAAGATAGAAATAAAACTTTAGAGGGGGGGGGGGGGGGGGGGTCTCCTGGTCGAGAGGTTACGGTGTTACAACGTGTCAAAATACCGGCCTAACATAACCGAAGGAGCAATGCGCTTTGCTGGTTTGGCCATGAAACTTTATATCCAGTTGCAAGCGTTTGCTTTGGAGCGTCTCTATATTGAAACAAAATATTATTTAAAGATTTTTGGACACTTTTTTATTTGGGGGTGGGGGGGGGGGGGCGTATATTATGGTATTGACTAGTTATTTAGCAATTTTTTAGGGGGGCGTACATGTATTATGCTATTGACTAGTTATGATATTTAGCAATTTTCAAAAAATTTGCATGTAACCAGTTTGTGAATAACATCGACATGTAGGACCCAATTACATTACATGCCACGTTGCAAATTTTGTAGCAAATTTATAAACACGAAGAGGCTGAAAGACCAGCACCATGTGTGAGGCGTGCTGACAAAATGAGTTACTTCTCGGATTTGAGCCCCATGAAAATAGATCTAGATATGCTTATAGATCTAGGTTACATTTTTACGATTTGTAAGTATGGAATAACAAAAGGCATTTAATACTTATGAATATTGCATCAATAGAAAACCTACAAATTTGACCTTATAGTGTCGATTTTTGGCCAATGTCTCCATTAAATTTTGTGGATTGTGAGAATTAGCTCATTTTGTCAGCAAGCCTCACACACACACACACACACACACACACACACACACACACACACACACACACATATATATATATATATATATATATATATATATATATATATATATATATATATATATATATATATATATATATATATATAATATATAAAAAATTTATATATATATACGAAATAGGCAACTCCTCTGGAGTAGCACCGACTGCCCAACGTCAAGGGAACTTGTTTATCAATCTCTAAAAGAATTCATGCGTTATAGATCTGTCTCTCGGACTGTCACTTTGACTTGAGCATGAGTCCTCACTCAATGAAAACCCCACGGGCATTCGCCCTCCTGTACTGTAATGTAAGTGGTTTGGCTGATATCTGGCGACGCCCAATATCTGTCCCTCGCGGTTTTATGCCCCCCCCCCCCCCCCAAAAAAAAAAAAAAAAAATTAAAAAAATTAGAAATTGTTCAAAGTGAGCCCAAAAATGTGAAATTATGCGATTCTGTTAATTTTAACAAAGAATGATAAAGGGAAATAATCAGAAATTCAGAAATTATGCAAATAATGATCAAATTTTGCTAAATTATGCGGGGTGCTTAAAACCACGGGGGCAGAAATAATAAATTTTGCCGGGGGCCGAGATGGCGAGGTTTCTTAAAAAAATTTCCAGGCGACTTAAATGTAATTGCATTTCTAAAAAAATATTGACCGAGGACTAAAAATTATCGCATGTTCATAAACAGCACATCAGATTTAGTCGGATTCACCCGGGGAGCGAAATGCTGTAAGTCCCCTATTATTTTTACCCCTTTTAGGCTATCATCAAAGAAAATGTGTCGGAATCTCAGTTTGCAATGACTTTCATAATGGACTTTTAGATTCTGTTACGTCATTCAACTTTTATCTTCGATCGCACGTAAAGACTTGAGAAAATTAAACAGAGCAATTTGTTTTTATCCTATTTTAACTGCGGACAGACGAAAGTAAAAAAAGTTATATGTACGCGTTGGATAATCAACGGAAAGGAACAGCCATTTAATAAACGCCGCTGTAAAATAAGGTACTGCATGACACTTACTTTTCAATACATTTTTTTAAGTATTGATTTTTACATTTTTAGGGGGGGGGGGGGGCAACATAACATAGGCATAAGATAATAGGGGATTTACATCTAAATTTAAAAAAAAAAAAAAACTTTTTTTTTCATCAATTCCACACTTAAGTGCCTCATACACGCTCAAATTTGTTTGTCAAACATAATTTACGAACACATTTTTTGGACAGTTTGACGTTCGCCCTACACGCTCAAATAGTTTTGTCAAACATTAGTTTGTGCCAAGAGTTTGTAATGGACGGGCCAACAATGTCTTCAACTCCCTTAAAAAATTCGTCCCCATTGAGGGTTTTTTTTTGGTAAGCGTTTTGCGGCGCTCGCAACTGCATAAGGTCATATGAGCGTAGGAATTTTTGAATTTTGCCCGGGTGGCGGCCGAAACCTACACTTATCGATTTTAGACCACCAAGGGATCTTTAACGTACACAACTTGCACACGAGCCCTCCAAGATTTTTCGCCGTTGTCCGAGAAGGCTAGGTGTAGATCTTTCCTACCAGAAGATCAGGGGTGTGGCAGAAAGACAGCAGTAAGAAGACGCGAAGGAGTAGCAGTAGAAAGGCTGCAGAAAGAGTCAGGAGCCCAGAGGAGGGGGCAAAGAAGGTGAGGGGTTGGTGGCCGAGAGTGGAGTGGAAATGAAAGCAGACAACAGAACATTGCTAGAGAGCAGGAAAGGATGTGAAAGAAGATAATTTTAGAGAAGAAAATGTTTCGGTCACTACCCGGATTCGAACCCGGGACCTTTGAATGAGAGGCCCACACCTTAACCTCCAGGCCATGAGAGCCCCATTAAGTTAATTTGCTTTTTCATTTCTTCTTTTGTGGCATCTGCGCATACCACTGCCTGTATTTCAACAGCAGACTGTCATAGGCAGCTTCTCTTTTATCTCGCTCACTATATTTTTTACTTTTAACTTTCCGTAGTTCAGATAAACTCTGGTACACTTCAATCAGCTCCAGAATAAATTTTTTTCATCCTTTGATGTCGCCATGATGGTGTAAAAAGTAGATCTTTTCTGTCCGGCACCAACTGAAGAAATAGTGTTTGCACAAATAATTTGATGAAGCCCATACACGATCAAATCGCTCGACGGCTTGACAAAAAATACCAACTGAAAACAGATATGTCAAATATTTAACTTTAAATAATTTTGACCATCAAACAGGCCCATACACGATCAAAAACCTATTTTTTTAAATATATGTAAAACAAATTTAATCAAACTATCAAACAAATTTGAGCGTGTGTCAGGCACTTTACACGTATGCCCACAAAACACGGTCCAACAGCCGAGTGAGTACTTTTCGAGACTCACGTATGACATCTATTATCTGATAGCCTTGAGGAAAAAAAATTCAAAGTATGATATGGTCGCTTTTAAGGACAAGCGGGCTAAACCTAGATTTCGGGGGTTTCCAGAAATCTTGACCAACACCAAAAGTGGGCATTGCCCTACCTATAGGAGAAGTTTGGTTTCATTGGCGAGTACAATATGTTTGGTTATTATAGAGAAAACTCTCCTTGTCTTTATAGAAACTGAATAAGAGGCAAAAACTTTACCTTCGATTTTCTCAAAAGAGCATTTTTCAGAATAGCCCCTTGTGCTCAAAAGCGACCATGTGCTCACACAGTAATGTTGGAGCGGGGCTGTATCGCCGTCTCAAAATGGGCAATACGTAGATAAAGGAGGTATCAAACTTTCAGTAAAATTTGACAGTTGTCAATCCCCTTTATGGAAATTTGTAAAGAATACATAATGCAGTCTTTTGGCCGACCATGCACTCTCACTCACCTCTCACCTTTTCCCCTTTCCCTTCTCTCTCTCTCTCTCTCTCTCTCTCTCTCTCTCTCTCTCTCTAATAACAGGGAAAGATCAGGGAAACGTAGCTTATTTTTAGAGCATCCAAGCAAAGGAATGAATGGAGAACCATGATCGCCGATGTCTGTAGCAGATCTGGCACTGGATGATGATACGGATTTTTTTTACGCCTACATGTGTATTTTGCATGGAGTGTGGGAGCACTTAGATTCTACCGACTGAAATACATGTACAGATTTATATTGGAGATTTCCACTGTTGTATCTTTTCCTCACGGAAAGTGACGCAAACAAACACGACGTTTTGTTCCGCTGGTTTCCGTGGTCTGTGGGCACACACCTTAACCCTATCTGTACGCCCAGGAGTCATTTTGTACCCCCCGCGTTGTATTCTTCACATTTTAGAATACTTCTAGTACGAAGATCTCTTTGAAACTTTCAGTATTTCTCAAAAATCATTTTGACAGACTGCTCTACAAAGCATACGGATTGGATTAACGATCTTATGTCCTCTTTGGAAAGTGGTGACACAGAGTTCCCCACGTCGTATGGATACATAGAGCCTAGTGTACATCTATGTATGGATACGATAGTAAAACACGACGTACTATAGGGTTAAGACCAACAAACAGGGCAGCCACAACGAACACAAGAAAGAGAAGATTTGAAAAGAAATAAAGAACAACCCATGACAGTGCAGTACAGTGCAGTACAGAGTTCACGTGAAAAGAATATATAATGTTCTTTCAATTTCCTTTTTCGCGTGATTTTCGCCCTCGTGTGAACAGGCCATGGGTGGGAGGAAGGACGACGGTCAGGTATATAACCCCGTCTCACACACTCACTCGACACTAGAACGTAGACAGAACCTCAGCTGTTGAAAAATTACAAGTTGTAGGTGAGTACCTTGTTTACTTTCCATGTTGCTCCTTTTATTTTTTATACTAGCCTTGTGGTCTACAATTGGACTGTCCCCGTGGTTTTTATGCACCCCGCATAATTTAGCTAAATTTGATCTTTTTTTTGGGCGTAATTTCTGATTATTTTCCTTACCATTCTTTGTTAAAATTAACAGAATCGCATAATTTCACATTTTTGGGCTCAGTTTGCATAATTTCAGAATTTTCATTACATAAAACGTTTACAAGTTGTAGGTGAGTAGATCTACCTCGTTTACTTTCCACTTTGCTCCTTTTATTTCTTATACTAGCCTTGTGGTCTACGATTGGACAAAAGCAGCACTTTACGGGAAGGAACGGCGCTGCTGTCTGTGGCGATGTGGAGTCTGTGGTCATCTCATTTCTGCTTGCTGTTTCCGTTACTTTATTCTCTGTACCATGCTAGCTATCTACGGCGATGTAGCATCTGCTATTGTCATTCTATACTGCTTGCTGTTTTCGTTACTTTACTGTCGGTACCATGCTAGCTGTATACGGTAACTACCAAAGACTAGAACTTTTCCTCATCGGATGTTAAAATCGTAATGTTCATGATGTACGAACTTTTAAAGATGGCATGCAAAAGAGTGGAACAAAACCGGTTCTGGTTTCCTAGTTATCATAAATAAAACCCCTGCTCTGAAAACCTTCAATTCCTTCATTTTTCTTGCACTGACAATATGGCAACGTGCACCAGTGTGTCGCATGTCACAAGTAATGTCCATTTTCTTTCATGCACATGGTGGGGAAAATTCATCCGGTTGTTCGTTCATTCTTTTTTTTAACCCCTTTTCTTTTCAGCATACCATACTGACAAAATGAAAACTTACATGAGTGTCGTCCTGCTTGCCATGTCCCTCGTGGTCATTGGTGCTCAAGGTAAGTATAGACTTTATACGAGTACTTGTTCTTGGTGGGGG